GCATAAGGCATGAGAAGGCAGGAGCCCAAGAGACGCACAGCCAGGCAGCCTTAGGGAAAATGGCAAGGCATATCTGAGGGGGAAGAATCATCTCTGGAAGATGGCGGCTCCCCGTCCCCTTTCTGGGGACTCATCGGCAGACACCCTGAGGTGTGCATGTCTAGAGAGGCCTTTCTAGGGCCAAGAGCCCAGCATTTTACAAATCAAGTGATTTATAATGTTATTAATGCTCACACACTGTGGCAGCCTCAGCACAGCAGAGGATGTTCCAGGCTCTTGGCCGTGGGTTCCAGACACCATGAGGGGTGACCATGTGTCCAAGCGTCCAGGGGAAAGCCTTACTCTCCAGTGCTTAGGTACTGTGTGGAAGGCAGACACAGAACAAGTGACCATTAAGGGGACGAGGCAGCTCAGAGGGATCAGGTTCCACAAAAAGCAGATGCTTTGGTTTCCACTTTTAATCAAAGGACCCATCTTGCTGACACCATGTAATTTGGGGTCCTCAGTTACTCCTGGAAAAGTCCCCAGATGGCCATTATCTGCCGTCAGTGCTGTCAGACCCCCAGCTGTTTGCACCGGAAACATCGTGGGAGCCAAATATTTCCTGCCCACTGCTCCCTGATTATCAGCCATGGCTCCCTGAAGGCTTTACGCCCCATGCAGGGTGACATGCCCAACACAGGAAAACACTCATTGCCTGCAACTTCCTTGCAATGAGCAGCAGGCACAGAGGTCGACTGCGCTTCAGCCCTGAGGAGGTTTACTTGGGATGGGGAGGGATGTGCTCCCATTCATGCCGCAGTACACACCTAGAAATGGAGGGGAGGGGGGAAAATCTCAGAAACGTGAAACAGAGCTCATCACAGTTTCTCTTATCATGCTTCAAGTGAACAAGTCACAGGGAAGGCGTGAAGGAGAAACTCTCAGTCAGTGCAAACCTAGGGCACCCTGGGAATATCACAAAGCAGGGCCCAACCACTGTGGGAGCAGAGGCTTCCTAGCCACCCTTGGGAGGGGCAGATGGAGTGTAGTGAGCCCAGGAGAGGGATGGTGCACACGTGTGTGTTTGCGTGAGTGTGTGTATGTACTGAGTATTGAGTACTGCCATTTTCTAGGAACACAGCTTAAAGTATATTTTTAAATGTGTATCCTACAACCATTTTTCATTCTTTAAGGATAAGATTAATTCAACTTCAGGTGATGACTAATTACATAAACTAATGGCTAAAAATAACTGAATACTGTATTCATTTATCTATTTAAAAATAAATGTTTAATATTATTTTTGCCAAAAGTACTAGGAAAATATACTATTATTAAATCTTATTATGAAAATTGATGTGTTCCATAGAGTTCCACGTTAGAAATGGCATATGCAAATTTTCTATCTACAAGTCACTAAGTTTGTTTTGAGTCCTGAAAACACTCAAGCTTTACAATATGAAAATAAAATTATACAAGGGTGTTCTTGTAAAGATGGTCACTAAAGGAATAATGTGATTGGGGGGCGAAGAAAAGAGTGCTGTAATTTTTAGTCCAAATGTATGCATCATTTTTATCCAAGACCTGCCCAGACTGGGCAAAGCACAGGTCTGAGGCAGAGCATGTGATCAAGCAGTCGAACAAGGTTTAAGACATGAGTCTTATGGACAAGCAGCATCTGGGGCCCAATGTCCACATCAGCTTCAGGGTTCTGGAATGTGAGCTACATGATGACAACATCTGACGTCTTTTCATCTTAGATCTCTGCATCACTGCATCTGGAATCTAGTTGGTACTACACAGATGTTTGTTGGTTAACTCTATGGAGTGAAAGGATGGATGGATGAGTGAATAAGTAAGTGAGCCTACTAGAGTAACTCCTCTGGTCGTAGCTCCATAGACCGAATGAAATACCTGATCCATGACCTCCTGTCATCCTTGCTGCTGATGCCTTTGTCCACACTCCCTACCCAACACACGGACACACACACTTACTATCTATTTATCTATCATATATATATAATTGTGTTTAGTTTCTTTTAAAGTAATACTGAGGAGGAGCTTGGTCACATTGCTACAAAATAAGCCCATACGGACAGTTCAAGACATCAGAGATCTCTGGCCCAGATAATGGCTTCCCTGTCTTAAAACATTTGAAGAGTCATCATGTGGAAGAGAAAGAAAATCAAGTTCTGTTTGTACCCAGAGGGTGAAACAATGACCCAGGGAATGAGGCAACAGTCCGGTGTCAGAAAATATCCAGAAATGGAGGGGGCTGCCTCGGGGTAGAGCGAGTTTACTGTCATGGGAAGCATTTAAGCAGTGGCCAAGAGAATGGTTCTCAAAGTGTGTCCGAGACCCCTGGGGATCTCCAAGACCCTTTTAGGGAACCAAAAGTCAAACTGGTTTCAAATGAATACTAAGACATCGTTTGCCATTTTCCTTTGCTGATGTTCACACCAAAGGGGCAGCAGCAGCAGGGGACAAAGCTGCCTGCATCTCTGTAGGAACCGAGGCAGCAGCCCCAGTACTAAGTCATCATGGGATTCACCACCACGCACCTACCTGCCTTTTCAAAAAGTTTTGTTTGGCCAGCCACAGTGGTTCACACCAGTAATCTCAGCACTTTGGGAGGCCAGAGCAGGAGAATTACTTGAGCCCAGGGCTTTGAGACCAGCCTAGGCATCATAGTGAGACTTCGTCTCTACTAAAAATCAAAACATTAGCCAGTCATAGTGGCACACGCCTGTAGTCCCAGCCACTCAGGAGGCAGATTTGGGAGGATCACTTGAGCCCAAGAGGCTGAGACTCAGTGAGCTGTGATCATGCCACTGCCCTGCAGCCTGGGCAACAGAGTGAGATCCCTCAACTCAAAAAAAAGTTTCACTGGACAATGTCCTTGAGGATGCAGTTAAAAATAATTTTACTAAGACTTGACTCTTGAAACAGGTAGCTTTTTAATATTCTATGTGAAAAAGTCAGAAGTGCTTACAAATCCCTCCTGCCACACACCAAAGTATGATGGTTGTCTCCAGACAACACCTTTGAGGTTGTTAAGTCTCAAGCTGAACTAACCACTTTTTAATGGAGTGTCATTTTTACCTGAGGAAACAATCAACAAACTCTGGACTTTGGGGAGACATTTTTTCAAAAGGGAATTGAACAAAACTGAAGGAAAACAATTGGCAGTATTTGTTGCCAGTGGTAAAATTTGAACTTTCTAGCAAAAATTACAACTTTGGAAAATTTGTATTCACAAACGTGTATTTGAGTGGTTTCCACGTTCAGACTTTTCATTAGGAGATCAGTGGTGGTATTCATGAATGTGATCTTTACTATGCTGAAATGGATCTACTTTGGGAAGATCCATATAACTCAGTGACCCATGATTTTCCAATGAGCAAGACCTGATGTTATAAAATTATGCATGTGTAAAAGCACAAGACTGATCCATGGATTTTAATGTGACAGAGAGAAGCAAGTTTATTGATATGGTTACAGATTCCACATCACAGAAGCTTCCACTTGTGGTGTAGAATCAAAGCAGACTAGTCAGTTATTTTAAAAGGCTATTAAAATATTTCTCCCTTTTCCATTTACACATGTGTGTGAGGCCAGATTTTATTCCTGTACTTAAACCAAAACAACATATTGCCACAGATCAAATACAGAAGCAGATCTGAACATCTAGCCAACTTCCATTAAGCCAGACATTAAAGAGACTTGAAAAGATGCAAAACAGTAACACTTTTCTGACTAATTTTCTTTTAGTTTTGGAAAATATACTTTATATTCATTTTAAAAATGTACTTATGTTAACATATAGTGAGCTCATTTTTATTTTAAAATAAATTTTAAAATGTCTTAAAAGCTTCTAAGTTTTATTATCTAATGCAGTAAATATTAATAGCTCTAACTCATATAACAAAAGTTCTTTGCAATCGTCAAAAAATTTTAAGACGGTAAAGGACTTCTAAGGCCAAAAGTTTGAGAACCACTTTCGTAGAGTCATTTTAAACATGGTGGTCACTTCTAAACCTTAGATTCTGTACTTCTGTGAATTCATGAAATTAACTCAGCAGGTTGTCTTCTCTTCATATATGTAGAATAAATACAAGATTCAAGTCAGATTACAGTTATCTTAGAAATATTAACTACATATCCTTTCTGACATCTCAACATTAAATTTCAAAGTCTGCTTTTTAAAATGTAGTAATTCCATGGTTACAGAAAAATAATACCATTTGGAACCCATAGAACATAAAGCCTTGGACTTAACTAAAACCTAAAGCATAGGTGTGTGGTTTCATTCACTATTACTAACTTCGTAATTTGCACAACTGCATTCTTATGTTTAGTTTCAAAATCCTGTGTTTATCCTAAATTGTAAACAAGAAGAAAAGATTTGTGCTTCTGTCTTCATTCTTAACTCAAGCACAGAGCATATATATATATAGGTTTTTTTTAAAGGAGGAGAAAGCAGGTACTGCTTAAGCCTATAATCCCAGCACTTTGGGAGGTCAAGGCAAGAGGATTTTTTGAGACCAGGAGTTAGAGACCAGCCCAGGCAACATAGCAATACAGCAAGACTTTGTCTTTACAAATATCTCAAAAACTTAGCTGGGCATGCTGGTGCACACCTGTAGTCCCAACTACTCAGGAGGCTGAGGCAAGAGGATCACCTGAGCCCAGCAGGTCCAAGCTGTGGTGAGCCATGATCGTACCACTGCACTCCAGCCTGAGTGACAGAGTGAGACCCAAAAACATAAAAAATAACAAAGGAGGAGAAAAAGTTCAATCTATTTTAAAGAAAATTTTTTTTAATCTCGCAGTCCTCTAGAGGAGGAACACCCACCACTGAATGTCACCAGTTCCTTCTGCTCCTTAAAGATGTCATGCTTGGTCCTCATTCTGCAGGGAACCCCCACCCTTCTAGCATCACTTATTTAAATGAGCATAAGCAAATCAATTAGGACTTCTTCCATTTCCATTTTAACTTGCTTCTGTTCCCTCTGCAGGAATTTAACTGGCACATTTCCTGACTACCCTTCTATAGAAGAAGGCGGTTCGGCTATTATTTTTTCTGAAAAGACCACACAACAGGTACAGATATGTTTGAGAAATAAAATGTAAAAAGTCATAATTACATTTCTTTAAACTTTAAAATTAATGGGTCTGTAGTGTTATTAGGGCTTGGTTATTTTCCTACAAATATCCACACAGAAATACTCCTGGGTGTTTATCAACATATGTATTTCCACATTTTTTCCAAAAAGAATTCATCCTTTTTCCTGTCTTAGTTTTGAAAAAATGTGATGACAGGTGAAGGTTATTTTCTTATAAATGCTGTGCAGCTTGGTTGCAGGAGCCCTGAGTGTCCTGGTCCCTGTTTCTCTCTCGCTATTTTCTTATAAATGCTGTGCAGCTTGGTTGCAGGAGCCCTGAGTGTTCTGGTCCCTGTTTCTCTCGCTCTCATCTCCCACCCTCCACCACTATCATCAGGCCACTGGTGCCGGCAGTCCTCCTTGCCTGTCCTTTCTGGTTCATGCGGCCGCTCCTTCAGTTCCTTGGCCATGTCATGCTTTTCCTTAGCCCTAAGTGCCCTTCTACGTAATTCCTGCTCACTCATCAAGCCCCTTATTCCTGCCTTACTAATGTTCTACGAGAGAGACACCTTGGATCATCTCAAAGATGCTTCATCAAGATGCTTTTCTGCAGCATCTAAAGCTATCTGTGTAATGTCTTAATAAATTAGAAATAGGAAAACTCTTCTTAGCCTCATAGTGTTTATCGTAGAAACCGAGAGAAAATTTGCATTATACTCAATGATGAAGTATTAGAGGCATGGCCAGTAAGAGTGAAAAGCAAGAAAAATTGCTGTCAGAACTATTATTTAATTTTGCCTGGATGTTTTAACAAATGCCAAACAAATATGATAAGTATTCAAAACAAATTTTCGATAAATTAAATATTTATATGTAAAAATATTAAGCCACAAATTACTAGAAGAAATTGTTTGGCAATCAGACAATTATTTAATAATCAGAGAGTACAGTTTTATAAGCATATCACCATAGGCAGACATCATGAAGAGAATATTTAACTACATAAAACTCTAATGGCAAAATCATAGGTGAAGTTAAAGTTGTATGATAACCTAGGGAAGATATTTGCAACATATGTGAGGATGACTCTTTTCCATGTAAAATATTGCTTAGAAAATAATAAGAAAAGTCATAACACCCCAACAGAAAAGAAAGCAGAGAATATGAACAGGAATTTAATATATGAAAAAAAATTGTAACTCACTGGCAAAGAAATTTAAATATAAAGTAGTGTTGTTATATCACTTTTCACCTATAGGATTAGTAAAACTTTTAAATCATGATAATAACTGGAATTGGTGTACAAGTGTGAAAAAATCACTCTCATTTATTGCTTTTGGATACATAATGAGCATGACATTTTTTAAGAGACATGGACCAAGTAAATATTGAAACTTTTAATGTGTATGCCCTTTGACTCAATAATGCTATCTGAGGAATCTATACTAAAGAGATAATAATAAGACAATTTGCCATGGGTCAGAGGTCAATACATTCTTTTCATGAAGGGCCAAATAGTAAATATTTCAGCCTGCAGCACATATATTCTCTGCCACAAATATTCAACTCTGTCATTATGGCATGAAAGCAGCCATAGACAATATGTAAATGAATGGGCATGTCTGTGTTCCAATAAAACTTTATTTCAAAAATGGTCAGCCAGCCACATCTGGCCTATGCACCATAATGTGCCACACACCATAATTTGCCATGAAAGATTGAGAACCTGTTCATGTCTGCTGTGCTCATAGAATTGACAAAGAAGAAACAGCCTCATGTTCTTAAACAGGGAATGAGTTAAGTAACATGAAGGACTACACAACAGTAAAAACCAAGCTATAGATCAGAGTCTCAGGACCTCAGCATGACCGACTGCATGTATCCTGTGTTCCCGTGTGTGAGCCCTCACAGTCAAGCACACAGAGTTTCTCTTCTACTAGAAAGGCTCTTCCTCCACGTCTCCATCAGAAGCCAACCTCAGTTCCCACAAGCCTGCCTCAGCCCTCCAGAGGACTCCTGCCTTCTCCACTAAGCTCCGTGAGCACTAAATATTGACACTATTACTTGACAGCTCATCAAGTCCTGTCTTGAATGACTGTCACTTTAATTTGGTATTATTTCACTTTTTTATGTGCTTAGGTGTCCCTCCAGCTAAATCACCAGGCTCAAGTTGTGTCTTGAAAATCTGTGGCAAGCAGCCAAACACATTTTGTGTTAGCTTAAAAACGTTGTGATTATAGGATTAAGAATGTGGATGGAATGTCTAAGTTTGCATGAAAAACATTAAAAAGAAGAGCTAACTTCTAGTTAAACTAAAAACAAAAGAAAATTGAGGCTGTCTGGTTAATACATTAAAATAAAACAAAGGGGACCACAGAGCAGATGACTGAAGGATCTTAATAGCATAGTGATTAAAAATCATATACAACAACCTCAGACAAGCTACTCCCCCCTCTGATTGTTTTCTCATCTGTAAATGGAGTCATTAGCAATATCTACCTGTCTGGACTGATATAACAATTAGATGAGATGATAAGCCTGATAAACTTAGAAGAGAGCTTGCTTGACACGTTAAACTCATTCAGAAAATCTTAGCAGTTCTTACTAATGTTAGTAGTAGCAGTAATAGCAGCTGTTTTAGTAGTAGTATGAAGAGATAGTGGACCAAGCATAACCATTATAACAATGTTCATAAGTGGTTAAACTTATTTTTATAAAACACAGAAATAATGCAATTTTTGATGAAATGATCATAACATTGATACCAAACCAAAAAAATTGAATACCAAAAAAACCCATAAATTAGTCTTCCTTGTGAATACCAATGCATAAAGGTAAAATATTATCACATTGAAACCAGCAGCACATCAAATAGGTAAAACACAACAATCAAGGGGCAATTATTCTAGAATGCAAGAATGGTCCGAATTTACAATGTCTATGAATGCACTGCATCATATAAAGGGATCCAAAAGAAAAGGCCATAGGCTTATCACTGTGGATATTGCTAGAGAACTTTACCAATTCAACCTCCACTCTTGATATTTAAAAATAAAACTCAACAAAATTGAAATATACTGGATACTTATTGAACATGACAACATATTTCTCATTCAAAACTCAGTATCATACTTAATTGAATTCACTAGAAACATCCCCACTAATAGCAGGAAAAATATAAGAACGGCCACTATCACCACTATGACTTCATATTGTCCTATAGAAACTATCGGACACTCTTAGAAGAAAGAACAGTGATACAAAAAGAAGAAGGGAAGAGGAAAATGCAATCTGCAACCACTTTCTGTAGATATATCCTATACTTAGAAAAGCAAAAGAATCAACTGAAAAATGGTTGGGCATGATGACTCACGCCTGTAATCCCAGCACTTTGGGAGACTGAGACAATAAGATTACCTGAGCCCAGAGGTTCAAGACCAGCCTGGGCAATTTGGCAAGAACTCATCTTTATGATAAATCAAAAAATTAGCTGGGCATGGTGTTGTGCACCTGTGGTTCCAGCTACTTGGAAGATGGAGGTAGAAGGATCGTCTGAGCCCCGCAGGCTGAGACTGTGGAAGTCGTGAGTGTGCCACCACTTCCCTCCACCCTGGGCGACAGAGTGAGACTCTGACTAAAAAGAAAAAAAAAGAATAAACTGAAGTAATATGAGAAGATGGAGGAGCTACAAAACTAATATGCAGAAAGTGATAGCTATTATAATACAGACAGCAGCTAAATAGAAAATATAATGAAAAAAATCCATTTACAACAGCAACAACACAGAGATAAAATGCCCAAGAATAAATTCAGTAATAAATGTGTGTTCTATGTGAGGAAAAGCTTAAAGCACTTTTGAGGGATGCAAACAAAGAAATTGAAAAGCATATTGTGTTTTTAGGTAGGAATGCTCAACACCATAAATACCTTGACTCTTCCAGACATCATCTATAAACGTAATATAATCCAAATGAAAACACCAATCGCATTGTTTTGGGGCACTGGGGGAGGGAAAACAGAGAGGGAGGCCAACCTGAAATTCAAGTAGACAGCAAATAACCAAGAATAACCAGTAGAATTCTGAAAATGAAGCACAATGAGAAAGAACTAGCTCTGCCAGGTATTAAAACGTATTATTAAGAGCCCATTGGACAGACAAATGACTTAAAAGACACATCAATGGAAGAGGGTTGAAAATCAAGAAGTAGACCCAAATACATACAGAAATTTAGTATACAGCAAAGATGGTGTCTCAAATGTGTGAGAAAAAATAAAGTAAGTGATATTAGAATAACCATGTTGGGGCAACCCCTTCGGGTCCCCTCCTGCTGTGGGAGCTTTTCTGTCCTCTCAATAAATCCTACTTCTTTAAAAAAATAACCAGGTTGTCATCTGAAAAAGAAGAAAGTTAAATTACTATTTATGCTTTACTTCAGAATGATTCCAGGTAGATCAAAGATTTAAATGTAAAACAAAACAAAAACACAAAAGGACTAGAAGAAGTCAAGAAAGAAATATGTCATAATCTCAGAATGAGAAGGACCTTTCTAACTATGGTGCAAACCCCTGGAGACATAGAAGAAAAAACTGATAAATTCAACTACACAAAATAATTTTTGCATCCTGTGTGGGAAAGAACAACCCTGAGTAAGGCAAATGACAGATGACACACTGGGAGAATTATTTGTAATGAGTATCACAGACAAAGATCATGTTTTTAATACATGAAGAACTCCCACAGCTCTGTAAGAAAAAGATCAATAACCCAGTACAAAAAAACTAGCAAAAAGCTATGAACACCCAGTTCTCACAAAAGAAAACCCAAGTGGATTTGAAACATAATAAGAGATGTTCAACATATGGAAAGATGATCAACTTCAGACATATAAGATGCAAATTAAAACTACACTGATAGACAAAATTGATCAATTGAACCCCGTCAAAATTCAAAACTTTTGCACTTCAAAAGACATTAAGAAAATAAAACCTCAAGCAACA